TTATCCCGATATTCCGGAGAGAGAGATTTTCAATTCGTGTTTAGATTCCATATCCTGAACCGATTTTCGCATCAACCGCGCGTAAGGCAACTTACGTAACGTATCACTAGGAGATTATTCAAAAAAATGTTAGCTACAAATTTATATTTATAATAATATATTAATATTCCGATGTTATCCGTCGTTATACGTCTTGCGTTCTTACCTCGCACTATCCACAAGTAGATTCTATCACGACCATGGTAAACGATTATTACCGAGTTTCCCGATATAGTTCGCTTTAATTCAATTAGTTCCAAGCATCGATCGATATGGGATTTGGAGCTGAGAGAGCATCTCGTGCCAAAATCAAATGGAAAATTACCTCCTCGCGTCTATATCGCTTAATTTAAACGTAGGCGTTCTCATTACACAGGAGAAACTTGGCAAAGATAATTTTCTCTTTAAGATTATGCGTAATATCCTTGGCATGAGTGCACATCTTCCATAACAGCGCGTATTCACATATAACGTCCTTGTTTCTTATTATACGCAACTAATACGTAAAATGTCAAAGGTAAAGGTTTCCTTACTTAAACCTTAGAAATCCTTTATCCTCCTCCAATCTTTAAAAGGATATTGGAAGATATTCTTGCAACGCAATAGCTCTGATTTCTGTTTGAGATAACAAATGTGCCACCAAGATTTCACACGAGTGTCGCGACACACCCTGAATAATAAGTAACATTTTATAAAATATACATATCTATCATTTCTCGAATAACTTATCACTTTGAAATGCTACGCTTCGTTGTTGATTAAAAATTGTGACGCTTCGGTGCTCTCGACAGAAGTTCAAAGGCTTGCTCTCAAAACAGAAATTCCGGGTACATGGGCATAAAGATTAGACAACTTTCAGAACCGTACGAGGATAGTCACGCCCCGAATAAGAGGGAGCGACCAATAGGATGACTCCAGGTAGAGGGTCGTGCACGAAATTAAAATATCCTTCCTATGTAATGATACAAGAGATATGCTAGTAACGACGCACGTGAATTCGCAGGACGAGAACTATATGGTTCTAGTCCGGATCGTTCCCTTTGCGCGATGGAAAGGGTGATTTCCAACCCCTGGTCGAAGGGTTCCGCGGGCATCCCCTTGGAATCGCGGATCCGGCAGACATATGCTTAGGCAAGGGAGAGAGAAGCGTTATTGTATTATTCACGATTCTCGACCCCGTAAGATAACGTTACCGTGATTTTTAATAGGCGGATGCAAGGATGAGAAAGTGTGGGGGGTGTGGCCCTTCATGTATGCCTCGCTAATGGGATTAGTTGTGTTGTTAGGGGGTTTAAAATCGCTATGTTTTCTCAACTTCATCGATGCGAGCTAAATAATACGGTATATTATTCGCCAATATCGAGACATTCTTTACAGATTTGATATAGATTTATCATTGATGATAACAAGAATATATATAGATAAATATTAAAATTCTATAATTTAGATGACAATTAAGTTAAAATAATTTAATATTTTTACAGCAGAGACGAAACATGTGATTCTCTTTAAAAAAAAAATGTTTTATATTTAATAATTTTAATTTTTATATTTATTAATAAATAAGATTTTGTTATTTAATGATATTTGTATGATATTTGTATGATATTGAGTTTCAAGTTAAATAATTTAATAATTAACAATATTTAGATATGGTAGCTAGTATTACTTTTTTTCCTCTTAGAGTATTACTGAAACATGTTATCATTGTATTATATTACCTCAATTTTGTCCCAATCACGAAGCGATCATTAGATCGCGTTTCCCCTGACATAACGAATGCGTCGTCGCGCGCAATTAATTTTCGGATGTATCGACAGGTGCGGTCAACGTAGAGTCGTTCGCACAAGAATACACTCGCGCTATGACGAGGCCGAAACTCTGATGTGAAAGTGGATATTCGAAATTCGGCGTTTCATGTTAAACACTAATTTTCCGCTTTGTGAGCGCATCAGGTCTCGTCTATTGCGCGACTCGCTCGATAAATTACAGGAACGGCTAATCAAGAAATTAGTCGCGTGTATGGAAGTCAAACGGTATTACCGAAACATTATTGCCTTTCCCTTGATACGCTTCGCTGTGCCGCAATGGCGATTTTCGCAGAGAATCTCGATGCGAATACTCGTTGCGCACGGATACAATATGTTTCTACTCGGCATTCAAATGCATACATCCTATGAATAATAAATTTTTCATTTCGATGAATCAAAAAGTGGTAAATATTATTGCTATTATAACATTACACAACGTATGTATGTGTACATACATACTCGCGCGCAAATTTATGTTTCCAAATTTATAATTAGAAAATTTGTAATCATGTTTTAATTTCGTGTAACCATCAAATTCCTTTCATAAATTAAAATAAGTTAAACTAAGATAAAAATAATATTTATTAAAGAGATCGAAATTAATATTGCGATACAAGGAACAACTTCCACAATTTTATATTCGGATCATATTAAAATATCGTTTTAGTGAAACTCGAGGAAAGCTCGCTGCTGTATCTTTTATCTCTCAAGTGGACAAAACGTTTTCTAACAATCCTCAATGTTCGTCAGTCAACATATTTGGACTATCAAGTAGCTATTTCGATTTCGTATTCTGCAGTAGTTTCGTCATTTTTCTCTCATTATTCCCGCAACACTAACTTTTATTTCAGTTCGGTACTGCGAGATTTCATCAACGTAATACACTCGAGAATGCAAATTCTTGTAAAGAGAAAGTGAAGAGGAAGAGACGAAAAATAAAACCGGCAGAGTTTCAGTTTCTAGTAGTAGATCTGAGATTTGATACGAGTCTTCCTGCTGAATATCGACCCATAGTGAGAAATGAATTTACGTTTTGTCCCTGTGTCGGAGAAACACCGACGGAAAGCGACCTCATCTGTAAATCGATGCCCGTCACATCAATGTAATCTCATTCCTATAAAACTAAAAAATTCACTTACGTATATATGTAATAGACGGCAATAATGCTGAAATTTGTTTCTCTATACATTTTTCTGCATTTTACAAAGAAGATTGAAATAAAATTCAAGATTTATCATGTTTTTTAACTTCATCATGTAAACATATTCTCAGAATCTACTTTAATTAAATCATTATCTTTAAAAGAAATTTAAAAAAAAAATAAAACTACTCAAATTTTAAACACATAAGATAGAATATTATTCAAAAATAAGCAATAAAACTAGAGATACATGTAATTTTTTTTCTTATCCTTCTAAAAATTGTTTATATTCTTCAACAAATAAAGATTGGATTAGATACATAAATTTTATCATTATGAATTCTATTATCTAATATTACATCCAATTTTCACTTATTTCTCGAAATCCATTGTGGCGTCATTTATTTAATTTCCTGCGACTGGAAATTACTAATGAATCGCTTTCTACAAATTGAGGTAGGTACTACTGTCTTTACCTGACTCCTCCTATCAGATTATCTTGATTACCCGCGCAAATTCTTCTACACGTTCCAAGGAAGCCTATTTGATAAACGAATTGACGGAAAAAAGGGAGGATGGAGAATGAAAATCTTTCCACTTTTTTTCGTTCCACTTGTTTCGAGAAAAATCGCAGGAATGAAAGAATCTTCTTTTTTCCACCGTTCTCGAAATTAGTCCATGAATTGAGGTCTTCAGTTAAGCGACGGAGATAATATTAGCATTAAGACACACGTTTTCAATGAGATCCATTAACGATAATTATTAGTAGGAAATGAAATTTAAATTTTAAGCATATAAATGTATCAGCACGTTTGTGTTTTCTTTTTCTGTTGATTTCGAATCTATGTTTGCGAAAGACTTGCGTGTTTGTTTTACGAATCAAGACAAATAGCTAAGAACAAATAACTGATCATGTATCTTCCCCTTGAGTCGGGAGATTTCAAAAGAAAACAATCGATTCGATTAAGTACGATATTCGTAAAACAGTCGAAAAACAACCGCCGAAATTATACCACGAAAGCGAGAGTTTACGTATCATATTTATCATATTTATTGTGTAAACATTGAATAACATGAAACATCTTTATTCAATCAAATCCTACATTATGGTATTTGCAAATGATATCTCGTACGGTAAAGTATAGTATCTTTATAAAGTATCTTTTATAAAACATTTAATTCTCATAAAACTATCCTAATGACTATGTCAATTTCTTTGCGATAATTTGAAATTTTTTAAATTCAGAATTAAAAACATCTTTTACTCTTTTTATTAACTTATTGAAAAGGGAGGGGAAGATTTAATGTCTGCGTCAGCTTGTTTCCATCGATTTAAATCATACTTTGAGTTCATCATCCGTATTTCGGCGGATAACGGGATCGGGGTGATAATAATAGAAAGATGGGTAAAGAGGCCGTATAAAATTTCCGGTGATATTAGCCACCCGTCGAATTAGCGCTGCGAGAAAATGCCCTACTCACTGTCGTTCCCCGGGGAGAGCAGTTGGGGTAAACTCCGAATTGGGGGGCACCCTCGCGAAGAAGGGCGGGGCCCTGTACAAAGGGCCCTGGATCAAAAACCAACCCCTGGGTGGAGTTTGCACCCCGTATATATAAACGAGTCCACGACTTGAAATACAGAATTCGATGCACCGTTGTGCAGTCAAGATCTGCGATCTACATTTGACTCAACTTCGTCTCATAATTGAAAACATAAAAGGTGTGGATCGATATCGCGAAGAAATCCAAAAAAACAAAGAAAAATAATCATTCTTCAAGAAAATATTAGAAAAATTTAAGAAACACTGTGATCTCAAAATATCGTTTTAAAAAAAAAAAAATTTCGTACTATTAAATTGAAAACGGAAATTAAGTTAAAAATAAAAATTAGTTAAGTGCAACGAGAAGATCTTAATGATCGTTGGATTACTTTGTGCCGCATGTGAACTCTACAGTCTGAAGTTGGACACTTGAAAAGTGTTTCCGGAGGATTCTTCAACGAGACGAAAATGTCTCGAAGCTTTCTGGTGGATTCTTTGATCGGCAACAACTCGCCACCCTCATATCCGTTACCATATTATGGGAACCTCCCTAATTACATGTTCAATTTTTTCAATGTGGGTTTGGGTTACCAACCGATTAGACCAGTGCCCAGACCACCCGCCATACCCGTGCCGGTTAATCCACCGACGTTGGGCATCTTGCCGATATCTGGACAGAGTCCTCCGTCGCCTTTAAATATTTCTACAAGCAAATTACCAGGTAGACATATAATTGATAATTAATTTATAATTTATGATAAATTTCCTAGAATAAATTACTTAAGAACCCTAAAATCATATTTAAATATTTCATAAAAATACTTAATTATCTCTTTGTTACTTTTAATCTAATTATATAATAAATATATTAATTACATATGACGTAAATTTAATTGTTTAGATAACATAAATAATTTCTAAATATTCATCCATTTTCAAAATTTTCAAGATATTATTTTAGAGTATTATCTGCAAGATACGCATTGTATCTTTCCAATCTCTTCACTAGATATATCACGTAGATCAGCAAGCGTTGAATCTATCGAATTTTCCTTATCGCCGTAACTATATATCACGTAGCAACGCCATTAACCTCTGACCTTTTTCCTTAGACGTTTCAATACGCAGCGAGTCTCCATCCCGTAACAGCACGCCGACACCTCCGCCAAAGTCTCCGAGCTCCATTAGCAACAGTTCGAAGCGCATCCGGACCGCGTTCACTAGTACTCAATTGTTGGAGTTGGAGCGCGAGTTCTCTTCGAACATGTACCTGTCGCGGCTACGTCGAATCGAGATCGCGACCAATCTGCGGCTGTCGGAAAAACAGGTGAAAATCTGGTTTCAGAACCGCCGAGTGAAGTATAAGAAAGAGGACTTGCCGTCTGGCCAGAGCCAGAAATGCTGTTGTCTACGAACGTGCGGAAAGCGAAAGGGTGGCTGCGGGGAAGAATCGCCTGGTCGGAAGTGCGAGCAAGACGACGATGAAAAAAGAACGTTGAAGAGCGACGAAAGCGACGATGGCAAATCCGGTCGCGATCTCGCCATAACCGAATGCCTCGAACGCTCGATCGCGAATGTAGATGCTCGTCTTGAGGAGAAGTTCGACTTCTCGAGAATAAACTCCATGCAGGAGGATCAGATAGGCGGATACGAGGCGCGAGATCTTTCTCGAGGTTGCAAGAGAAGTCTGACGGAGGCAAGTGAAGGCAACGACAAGAGAAGGAAGGTGGAGACGGTGGCAGATTATCAAACTCCGAATTCGGAGGCGATTACAACTCCGGTGTTCAGAAGTATGGGATGCACGAAGCATACTGTCGAGAGAATCGTTAACTCGTAGGTTCAGAAGCTCGTACATAAGTTCCCGAGATCTCTAAAGTAATGTAACGCAAAGTTCAAACTCCCACGATGCCTTTACGAATAGATAAATTGAATATGTAGTATCTAAACAAATAGATGAGCGTACTAAGAAAAATCTTGAGAAAATGAAACCATATCAAAATGTGCATTTGTAAATATTGTAAATATTTTGTAAGATTGTATTGTATATCTATTTTTGTACAATTTACATAGAAAACTAAAAATGTATATTTTTAATATAGACAAAATAAATAGAATTAAAATGCAATTATTAGTATCTTAATTCCTTCCTAAAATGCGACATTATTTATATATTTCGTTCATCAAACATATCATTCTCAAATCATATAAATTTTGCAATAATTATGCTATAAAACTTAAAGCTTATGTAATAATTTTATTAAAAAGAAGAGTAACTTTTCTAAATATTTAACAATATATAAAACAATTTAAAATAGAAATTATATTTTAGATTATAAGAGGTTGATTATAAGAAGTCTTTTGTAACAATAACTTTTGTTACTGAATACAAAATAACTTCAATAATTAAAATAATTTAACATAAATAGTAGAATCATTTTCAATTAAATAGTTCAAATATTAAATTTTGTTGTTAGCATATGAATGCTACTCTTGATTATTATAATAAAAATATTTAATAAAAAAATTTTTTTAATAAATAAAAAAGTTTCTCATTTAATAAATCTAATAAGAAGAAAATTTTCCAAATATTTTATAGTGGTTATTAAAATGTTACATATATACTTTAAATGTATGCTTTAATTAATAAATGTAATTAATCCAATAAAATTTTTATATTACTTTTCACACACATATAATATATTCAAATCAAATATATCCCAAATACATAACATATATCAAATATCTTCAGAATCTATTCAAACTACAAGAGACAGTAATAGCAAATAAAAAGTTACGAACAATGGATTACCAAAATATAGTTTCTCATATATAAAGCGATACAAATAATGTATCAAGCATTCATCATAAAGAAATATCTCGGACACATGTCGCCACTTTTAACGATGTAACTCGCGTCTGTACACGATTTTCCAGTCAAACGATCGGCTAGAAAGAGTACAACTCAACAGGAGTACAACGTGGTCACTCGGAGGGCACGTTTGCCATTGTCGACGGGAAACCGGTCGTGTTGAACTAAATCCTGAAAATTTGTCAAGAGGCCTCCACTTTAGGTTAAATTTAAGGTAAAACGTAGTTAATGGTGCTAAGGAGCCATACGACAATGCGCCGAGGTCTCTCGCGCTCTCGAAGTCTCGAGCTCGGGCCAACAATGGCACACTTGTGTTGCCATTCGCGGGGCCCGACGAAACGTGAAAACCAGCCGGCTGCCCTTTTTTTCCGGGCCCGAACGCGACAACGCCGCGCCCCATTCACGGTAGCCGAGAAATCCCCGTGGTCGCGTAGATTTGATTCATTCATCCGCTCGGGGAATCAATGACGCGGAGGAGGGAGGAGGGGCCGATCGCGCAGACTGAATGACGACGAAAAAGTCGGAATCGAAAAATCGCGCTTCCACGATCCGCCTTTCTGCCTTTCGTCCTGCACAACGGCGGCCGGTGCCTTTCAATCGGATCGCTCAGAATGAGTGTAAAGAACGCGTAAGGAATGCGGATTCGTCGACAATTTCTCGCCTCTTAAGAGTGGTAGCGGGCGCATTCGGTTATGGCAGTTTAAAGTCTGACGCGTGAATGCGAATACAAGTGATGTATGGAGTGCCTCTTAAATCCCGACGACTTTTCCAATCTTTTCTACCTGAGGCGGCGGTTGCTTCTGAGTTACGACTTTTAATCAATTGCCAGATTATATACGATATATATATATATATAGAGAGAGAGAGAGAGAGAGAGAGAGATTAATGAATAACCAGTAGAAAAGCCCGATAACAATGTTTGCCGCGTTTCACTCTTCAATTGAATTTCAATGTTTCGCTCATTTGAGATGGCGTCGAGCTTTAAATGAACGTGTCACGTTCAATCGCAATTCAATTTTCCAGACCCTCGCGTGTTCACATCTCGGATTCAATCGGATCATTGGCAACGATAATGATATATACATAGATGTAACCGCTCCTTTGTACGCCCATTCGGAATTCGCGTATGCGAGTTGATTCCGTCTGCCAAATCACGAAATGCCACATCGCGCGCAATCCCACACCGATTGCGTCAATGAGGAATCGTCCGAATAATTAAGCACGCTTCATCCTTGCGCATTGTCGAGAAACTTAATGGAATCGCGAATGACATCCGGAGAAAATGATGACAGCGTATTAAACGTTATTCGGTTCACTTTACCGAGTTCTACGGAACAATCTGCATTGCTGCACAATAACACCACTGCGATCCTATTGAATTATATAACGTTACGTATAACTCGCATTATGCAACTCGTTCAATCATTTCCTAATCTAAAACATTAGAGAAATTCAAAATAACTCTAATATTAAAATTGGTAAAAAGATATATATGTAACGCTTGTTAATCTATCTTTCTTTTTACGTAATAAAAATAAATTTTATGATTTTAAATTATAATAAGTATATAATTTTTTTTCTCATATTTTATATTTAGAGTTCTTTATTTCAATTATTTTTTACAAGTTTTTTACAAGTTTTTAATTATTACCTAATGAGATTACCAATGAAAATAAAAATTAAATTTTCTTAATATTATATACAGAATGTTAGATATGATATTATAGCAATCATATTTATATATTTTATATTGCGTAACATGTCACTTTTCCACCTCATTACGTGAACCATTCAGCTTGACAAGCTGCAGAACAAGGTAGGAAGATGGAAGAGCATGCTTCTACAGGCATTCTCCATCATCGTTTGTACATACGTGATTAATTTTTTGCTCGATTTAAATTCTGTTCGCATGTGACCGAATCTAACAAAACTGCCGCGAGATTGCTTACCCCCAGCAGCAACTCGCGATTGCAACGGTTTCCATTCAACGACCCTAACAGATCATCGCGGTCAGCCGGATTGTCGAAGAGGGTTTACTCGAGTGATTGTAATGAATCCAAACGAATTTGCACTCTCCAGAGGAACTGGTGAGACGACCACAACAGTTTGTGCAACTCGAAAATCGCGGGAAAAAGACGATGATAAAGAATAAGGTAAGAAAAGACAAAGAGAAGAGAGGGACGAAGAGAGGGTGACAGAGTTGTTGTCGGCGGCTGATTTCTGGTTCCGGTGCGCTAATTCATTTCATCTTATGCGCACTGAAGAGGCGCTCCATCAAAGCTGGAAAAAGCTACCGCGACAGCACTTTAGCGCGAAAGGGCGGCGGAGAGTGAGATGACAGGGTAGTGCGGGCACTCGAAAGTTGAAACCGTTTTTGCCTCTTTACACCCAACCCGAAGGACAATGGCGACAGCGACGTCGACCAATGTGGATCGCTTTCGTGGTGTGGCTCCGGGCAACTCGCGTTTGAACCGATCGATTGATACCAGCAGATGCGACTATGAGAATTTCAATAAATAATGTGAGAATATTTTTTTGGAAGAAAGTTATAGACATTGAGAAAAATTTCTTCTCGAGTCTATCAAAAATGTAGACAAAAAAAGAGAGCACGAGAAGAGAGAAAGATGAATCTTTTACGATCCGGCAACATTTGATAAATAATAAAAAACGGCGATTTTACGGCGCCGGGAACATCGTCGAGCACGCGTGAAACCGTATCTTCCTAAAACAAACTCCGTTTCAATGTCGAGATAATGTTTCGGGGGTAGGAAACTTAACGGCGCGATAAATTTGTTCGGCACGATAAATTTGTCTTAATGGCGCTTCCGGGTTCTCCCGACATCGTTGATTTCACACAAAGCGCGGAACTCTCGAAAGGCATAAACCTTATGAACGACGAACTGTTCTTCATTGTGACGCGGGTGCATTGTGTAATACATCGGTATCGCAGGAATGCATCGTGCGCAGCCGACGTCGTCGGCCACCGTCGTATGTGTACATGACCAATGACGCGAGAATAATTTCGCAGCAATGCCCGCAAATATGATGATCCGCCGTCACCCGGTTTCTCATTGTCGCGAGTCCTATTCGCACTGGCGAAAAGCATGTCGACGATGAAGGATCGATTTACTGCGGCAATCAGAGGTTGTTTAATGATTGACGAACGTCGAGAAACGGTGTCCCGGGAAATAAATTTCTTACGTGTCGGGAACAGTTCAAGACTCGACAGAGCAAAGATATAAAATAGTGAAGTGGATGTAACAGCATGTTTGCCACACGTACGCAGCAGGATGTAAATTTTATACAAATATACATTTATATTTAAACGTACATTTAATTTAAATGTATGTATAAAATTTTAAAGTTACACGAACGTATGACAGAGTGAGTGCGGGTAAATGTGATTGTTGAGACGAGCATCTAAAGAATATCGAAAACGACTAAGAAATATAATATAATTGTTTTTTATGACAAAAGCGTGTGAGATGTACGTTGATAAATGATTGATATTTGTCAAAATATGTGTGTACGCATGAACTAGAATTGTCATTGTATGATAAAAAATAAGAAAAGCGATATTAGCGAAAGAGAGAATTTGTCAGTTTGTAGAAAATCTATACTCGAGAGAATCAGTTGCACAGTTTACCTTGGGACAATTGCTTGTCCCAAAAAATTTTATACAGATTGCGAGTGAATAATAAAAATTTTTTTTCGTTATTTTTAGCCCAAAAATCTCATATAAATATATATTTAAAAAAATGTCGCGCTATTATTTTTCGCATGACTACTATTACCTTTCAAAATACATTGTTTTGTAAATAATAAAATAAAAATGTCTTAATTCTTAAGAAAGTTGTAATGACAAAACTGAACGACTGCAATTATTTCATTATTTTTGTGAGCGTCTTAGAAAAGTAGAAGAGAAAATTCTACCTGAAAATTGGTAACAGCCGCTAAGGGTGCCTCGGCAGTCGCAGCAATTTAAGGGAGAAAC